TGATCATCTGATAACATCATCAATCACTGATGACATTGGAGCATTGTAGTTTTCTTAAGGATTAGGGAAGCTGAACTTTTCTGGATGGATCATTTCCTTGATAGGAGAGAAATGAGTTAACTTATTTGTTTTTCTTTAGTAACAATATTCCTAAATACAGTTATTAGCAATATACAATTCTGACAAGAAACAGGGATGAAAGCAAGTTGAATGAGGAGCTAGGAACCAATATTTATTATATTGAGATAAAATTAACCTATCCTTTGTTGCCTATCTTTGTTTGGCCAACACAATGTTTCAACGAAGAGTGAATGGAAAGGATGGAAAAACTGACCAAGGGAAACCTAGATAGTTACTGTACATTTATTAAAGCAAAGACTTTTACTTGGTCAGACAGATTTAAATGAACTGTTGTTGTAGCTGCTCCATGACCTTGTATAATATGGGAGACTGACACACTGCCTGATCCTTGGCTGCCAATAGGAAGTTATAGGAAAGTTAATTCAAGTTAACTATCTTGTCATAAACCACTTGAATTTTCCTTCTCAAAAGTGCACTAGTAATTTTGTAACAAAAAGGAAACCTACTTAAATTCAGTTATCAACAGCATTGCTCAGTTGCCTGCTTCTGAATGAGCTATCCATTTTTAAAGAACTTTTGTTGCCCCCACCAACTTGTAAATAATAACAAAAAATCATTTAATACTAAACTACATAACTCCTAACCTGATTTTATTGACTGTCTTTCTCTCCAACATTCACTCACATGACAATACAGTGAGCATGATTGCTACTGTAACTGCAACAGAAAAGTATTTGATCATATTAGATTGCACGTAGAGTTTAATCATTCGGTAACATATGGATTATGAACTACCACAGGAGCATGCACAATGTCAGAACACATGCCCTTTTTCTCAGAAGGAAAAAGGCCAGTAACGGAGAAGGAGACTAAGTTGAAAAATAACTGTGTGTACTGAGATGATGTACAAATTTTCTGTGCAAGTTTCATATTTTTTTCAATCATGTTTTTCTTCCTTTGCCTGTTTGGGTTGCCACCTGTCCCACTGCATCTGGGGTGTCACCGCCCCTCCCACCAAATTGCCACCCCTCTCTCTGCATCACCGACCCTCCCGCATGCCCCATGAGCCCCGAGGAACAGGGAGGGGGGACCCACGCAGGCTGCTATGCCCCAGGCCATGGGGGCTTGGCAGGCTGCTTTCCCTTGGGCTGTGGGGGCTCCACAAAACCAGAAGTACCATGCTGGGCACTTCTGGTTTCACTTTTCCCTTACAAGCCCTTATAAGCCAGCATGCTGGTTAACAAAGTGTGTCAGCTTGTAAGGTGCTGGATAACTCAACTTTTACTGTACTTACAAGTTTTTGGAAAGTCATGGTTTACATATGCTCAGTATAGATTTATTAGAATTTAACTGCTCTAATCATTGCAAATTTTACATGTATTAGATTTACTTGAGCCTATCATAGCTCCTATATGTGTATAATTTCATGCACAACCTGACCAAGTGATTATATAATATTTCTGCAACATAATGCTACAGAAAAGAACCTGGATATTCCTTGAAATGATTTTCCCAATGTGGTGTGGGGACTCCCTTTGAAATGAGTGCAAAGGAGCCACCTGACTTTTTCCTCTCAGTGACTTGCCCATTCACTAAAACCCTGGGCAGCAAGGAGGACAAAATCAAATCATAAAAAATAAGAATGGGCAAATAGGTAGACTGAAGAACAGGAAGGGAAAGAAAAGGAAGACAAGGAATGTGGTGAGATTGGGACTGAAGACTAAAAGAAAACTACTGGTACTGGGACTTGCTGGGCAAAAAGTTTGTAACAATCTAGACAAGGAGATTGGGACAAAACCTGTGAGTGAAATAGTTGTAAAAGTGAAAATCAGTTAGGTGAAAAGGCACTGAGAACAGTTGAGAGGGAAGGGAAATCTGGAACTTACTAGGTTGGGAAATTAGCATACGAGGTATGGGAAGAGAGGAGATATAGGAGGTGCAATCAATTTGAAGTGCACCATTAATTTGAAGTGCTCCTGGGTGCACCATTTAAATGTGCCCATGGGACAGGAAAGTTGAGCTGAGTGGGAGCAGCCCCAGCTGGTGGGGTCTTAAGGAGTCAGCCTGACAGCTCGGCACTACTCCAACCCATTAACATCCTGTGGATGGCCTGGTTGAGGCACAAGTGTGCTCTAGTGTGGAGCTACCCATCAGGCAGCTGAAGCACCCTCATGCCCTAACCAGCTAGGTCAGGGTCTAAATGTGCATTGTTGCAGAGTAAAAATCTCCACAACAGGATAGTATTTGTATTTACAAGTACTACCCTTCTGCAGAGCTTATAAGTTTATTAGCTGCTAATTAGTCTCCCCACAAGGGAGCTAGGTTTTCTGATCAGTGTGGAAAACTGTGGATTTTCCCTATTAAAGGAGAAAAAAACAGGAAATGGTGAGCTTCCTCTTGCATGCTGGCAGAGTTCCAGGCTACAAGGTGCTGCTTGTGGCTGTGGGGAGTAGGAGGAGAGCTATCACACATGCACATGGCAGCCAGACAGCAGTGGAAAGCAGCTCTTGCAGCTCCCTCCAGGTAAGTCTATGGGGGTGGGGTTGGCACTGGCCACATATTAGGTGGGGGGAGGGGGCACAGGCCATGCAATGGGAGGGAGGGGGAACAGGCCATGTATTGTGAGGGTAGGAGGAGGCACAGGTGATGGGACAGTGGGGCACATGCGCCCCAAGATTTCTGTGCTCACCGCAGAGCTTAGGGTGGCAGCATGGCTGGACCAGCTCCAAAGAAGCCATCTCTGTGGCCAAGATGTGGGACCTGGTGTGGGAGGAAACACTGTGCTACCATGGCCACCAAGATGAGGCACTGTGGTTTGGAGTTGTGCCTTCATGGCTGCCAGGTGTATAGAGGGTGCCTCATCTTGGCAGCCATGCTGGTGCAGTACTCCATCCCAAACAGTTACATGTTCTGAGCTGTGGAGGTGGCTCCTGCCTGGAGCTAGTTCAGCTCCACTGCAGCCCCATGCCAAATGCTGCACTGTGGGCACAGAAATCGCAGGGGGTATGTACCCACACCCCTCTTCCCCACATGACCACCCCATTTTCCCCACACCCACTCCTTTGCTCATATGCTGGAGGCATGGGGCAGTGGATCAGGAGTGAGGGGCACCAGCAGCGCTGAGGGGATGTGGATCAGTGGGTCAGGAGTGAGGTGTACCAGCAGGGCCAGGGGCCTGTGGGTTGGGAGTAAGGGGCATTGGCAAGGCTTGGAGGGCTGTGGATCAGGAGCGAGGGTCAAAAATTTATAGGTATTTAGAATTTATTTTATTATAATCATTAAGACACTGGTAGGCTTCCAAATTGATTTAAAACTGTAAATATAGCAATAACACATTGTATTCAACAGATAATTACATATATAGAGAGGCATTTTATTGTAATCATGGGAAAACATGGATTTGGGGGGTTTAAATCAGAGAATTTGGGATTTTTAACCAGAGAATTTGGGATTTTTAAACAGCAAAAACCAGGATCCCTGCTCAAGACTAGAACTGGGTGTTGTTGTTGCAAGTTCTGGGAACCTCCAAAAATGTATACACAGATGAGGCACAGATCAACCTGGTCCAGCTCCACCTCATGAAGTGTGGGGACACACTAATCAAATGTATAAGCTGAGAGAGGAGGCAACAGAGGGATGCTGGAGAAGTCCCATTTGGTTATGTTTGCCACACATTTAAAGCTGTTAAGAAATGGGAATAATTGGAAATGGGAAAGAAAGGCAAAGTTCAGCTGTGGGATTGAAGAGGAAGCCAAAATGTAGTCAATGTAGTGGCTCACCAAGATTTGAAAAAGAGCTAGTGCGTAGGGATACTGAGCATAATGGGCACTACCCTGTGTCTTATTCAGATGGGCTTGTAGTGTTTCCTTGTGGTAGGTTTTCATCGGGATGTTTACTTAGTATGGGCCATGAGTTTCATAGTAATACTCAGTCTTGGCTGCATTTAATCAACTTCATAGTTTGTTTCCATTGCTGAGTATATGCTTTTGGCATCAGTTTAATTATAGCCAATGTATTTAATGATGTTTCTTTGTATGAAAATATAAGACAAGTAGCTTTTGTCCCCATTCTGGCTGGGGAAAATATCTCATCTTATGCTTGAGTAAATATGATGTACACACAGACGCATAGACTTTGGTTAGTCTATAAGATACAAATCTACCCTGCCTTCTACTTTACTTCAGACTAACATGGCTAGCTTTGACTTTCTGCTGCCATTGGTACTGCCCCAGCCACTGCCAATGACCATGGGCACAAAAGCAGCATGTAATGCCTGTGAATTAACTTATTTACATATCTACAGTTTAATTAAGAACTCTTAAAAGCCTACAGAAATGGGTGTCCTCACTTTTTCATCCTATTTTTATGCATAGGACTTTATCTGTAGGACTGTAAGGCTATTATAGAACAAACCTGAAACTAAATTTACTGGATCCATAAAGTACAAGTTCTAACATGGTGCTTCTTTACATAATTAAAAAAAAGGAAAAAAAAATCACTGCTGTGACCAAAATGAGAAAGCATTCACGAGTGAGCCGAGTCATCTCAAAGCAGCATATAAAATGTAATAAATTAATGTGATTACATAATAACAAAAGGAGATGTAACAGAGTAGTATGTTGACTCTTAATAAGATCCTCTGGCTGTAACATTTGTTTTTTATATTTGTTCTATTTTTGTCAGTGTTTTAAAAATATCTTTTAAAGCTTTGACCGATATATTAAAATTCAGAATTAACATACTGTGGCTGTGGTTTAAGTCAATGACAGCACCCAGAAGATGGTATTGAGTTGTAGTATTGACTTAGCCCCAAGTATTTTATTTATGATATATTTTCATCGTTTTCTGCCTCTCTCTTTCTGTTTGTGTTTGTGTTGCTCTTGTTCTCCTTTAAGCAGTAGCTTTACTTTGCTTTTCAGGCGTTACACTAGAATCAGATTCCTGCCTTGATCCAGGGATTCCTATGAATGGCCATCGCCACGGTAACGGCTTTAGCATCCGATCTACAGTAACTTTTAGCTGTGATCCAGGATATACACTGAGTGATGAGGAGCCACTCATATGTGAAAAAAACCATCAGTGGACTCATGCATTACCTAGCTGTGATGGTAGGTTCCAATTATAATAACCAAATTAAAAAAAGTAAGATGGAGTGAAATTACACCTTAGACCATAACCTGTAAAATGTTAGGCAGTGTTAAGTTAGAATGTTCTGTGAGCAGTTGCACGTTAAACATTAACACTGCTTCATGTCTGCACAGCACTGAGTTGCTGCTAAAGAGCTGGTGAGCAGGCACGTGGCTAGGAGCCAGGGCACCCAAGTTGTCTCCCTGCTCTGAGGCTGGAGTTGGGCCTGGGAGTGGTGCATTGTGGGACCCTTGGGTTCACTCCCTGCTTGGGATGAGATACTCAGAGGGTACTTCACTTGAGTTAACAAGCTTTAATATGCAGATGCTCACATTTTAAATGTCCTTAGTGTAACATGTAACTTCAACCCTGTGTTTTTCTGTTTTAGTGCATTAGTTAGTCATGTCCTTAGTCATGTTCTCTTCCTTTCCAACATACCAGAGTTCAAAGCTTTTAAATACTTCTATTTTAATAGTATCAATACTCTGTATTTCTATCTTTCCTTGCAACCCACAACTGAATGTGTGTTATGAATTACTTACACCACTTTAAGTATTATCTTCATTCAATATATGAATAAACTCTGAAATGTGTAGATGAGGTGCTGTACCATAAGATCTAGGAACAAGAGGCAAAGATTAAATCTTCCTTAATCATAATAATGATGAAACTGTCTCAGCTCTGATTATCATCTCAGCACAGATGTACTATATCTGAAAGAAGTAAGGAAAAGGAAGAAAAAATCATAGGAAAAAGAAGGAAGAAAGGAGTTGACGGAGAAAGGGAGGGTGAATGGGCCTGAACTGAGAAGAATGTGAAAAGGGCAGGGGAAATGCAGGGTTGGGAGGAGGTCACACAGAACCCTAGGCACTGGAAGACAATGGTAACTTTGGGGACATCCTGAGGTATGGATGTTATAATATTTGTATATTATACAAATATGAATGTGTATGTCAAACACACATTTCCTTTCTAGATTGGGAATATGTTCTAAGAAAGAAAGTATTTATTGCTGGTTCAGGTTTCATTTGCTTCATGAATTAATACAGTACAAGCATAGGAAGTTATACTTTAGTTTCTGTTTTAACCCATTTGAAATATTCTAAAGAACACATTTACAGAGGGTTTCATCTTATGCCATAATATATACATTATTAGCATTGGCCAAACTTGCAATGGCTAAGTAAAAGCAAACATTAAGAAGAAATTAAGGTATCTTAATCCAAATGGTCCCTCTTGGAAAGACAGAAACATATCATAAATTATAGCACTTTCTTTCAGTTACCTATCTTATTTATCAATCACCTTTGACTGATTTTGCTGAAAAGAAGAGAGTGTGAGACAATGCTTACATAATTCAAGTTAAGATAAATATGTAATAGGTGTTTTCTCCCTTTTCTTAAACATTTGACTGGTATTCAGGGCTTTGCTAAGATTTTTCCATTAGGAAAAATGATTGATTATGAGCTATATATTTCTTTGGAGCAACTCTGTTTATTCTAAAAGTATGTACACAGAGATCTATTTCCAGGCACATAACAGGAGCCACTTCTCTTGCTTATAAATCAGACTTACCTTATAAATCAGGCTTACCTTTACAGCTAGTTATGTTCCTAAAAGGCTGGGCATACTTTCCACATCTTCTCTGGCTTCCCCACATGCTGTTTCTCAAGTGTCAGGACACACACAGTTGCAACCAATCAACTAAGTCTTGGGAGGCAGTTTCTCTTTCTTTAATTTCCACTGTTAAAGGGGGTATTTCATTATTTGTTTAATTTATCCTGAATGCAAAGTGCCTATTACTCATGTTGACAATAATCAGGACTCTGACAATTATACTTTTCATCATAACAGTTGATCTTCCAAAATACATAAAAAGGTTTGTTATATGTTGAATATGATGAGGAACTACCTAACATCATTTCTTCCCTCTCTATTCAAGATTGTACAACAATTTTGCACAGTAAAACATGCTGTGTGAGTTACACTAATTTAAAAGCATCTGTTTTCACATATACATATAACATAAGAAAATAAAAGGTTTTTTTCCATTAGAAAACCTGTATTCTATATATCTTTCTTTGAAAAACTATGTGTTGAGAGTATTCACAAAATATGAACAAAGTCTAATGCTATGCAGTAGAAACACATTTCAGAATGAATTACTAATTAAAAGGTAGCATACAACACTGTATGGTGCAAACAGCTGTTTTTGAAAACTGGAAAATGTGCTAAAAGTAGAGGCCAGTGAATATTACAATAACATTTTCTGTGAGTATTCACATAAGTTCAAAAATAATATTTGCTTTGCTTTTTTCTATACTTTGTTCATGTTCATTTTCATCAAATTTTCTGATAAACAGCTGTTGAAATAAGATGCATGTATGTCCCCAAATATTTCCACTTGCTTTTCAGGTTACAGTAATTCAGGTTAAGAATTTAAACAGTGCCAATCTATACTTCCAATTTAAAGCCAATATATGCAACTGAAATTTTTAATTTAGAAAACTGAGTCTTCTCAACATTACAGCTACTCATGAATTATCTATAAACTAACCATTATTTGCATAATTCTGAATAACATTATTTTGAAACTGTCAATAGTGTGTGCATAAAAAGGGAAGAGGAAAAAATGAAGCATTTTTAAATAACATTTATCCACTAAAGTGTAGGTAAGACGGTTTAAACATGGTTCCTGATTAATTATTTTTGAGCAAAGTTTCTTGCCTGACTGTTTCTTGCCTGACTGCCAAACTATTCAAGAAAGACAGGCAGGGGAGAAGAGGAGAAGGAGTTGCGCTATATGTAAAAGAGCTGTATGATTACTCAGAGCTCTAGTATGAAACTGGAAAAAGGCCTGTTGAAAGTCTCTGGGTTAAGGTTACAGGGGAGAAGAACAAGGGTGATGTTGTGGTGGATGTGTGCTATAGACCACCAGACCAGGAGGATGAGCTAGATGAGGCTTTCTTCAGAAAACCAGTGGAAGTTTCCAGATCACAGGCCCTGATTCTCATGGGGGACTTCAATCACCTTGACATCTGCTGGGAGTGCAATCCAGGAAGATTTTGGAGAGTACCAGGGACAACTTTTTGGTGCAAGTATAGGCCATGCTCTTCTTTACCTGCTGCTCACAAACAGGGAAAAAATGGTGGGGGATGGAGAAGTGGATGGCAACTTTGGCAGTAGTGATCACAAGATGATTGAGTTCAGGTTCCTGAGGAATGGAAGAAAGAGCAGCATAGCATGGACCCTGGACTTCAGAAAAGCAGACCTTGACTCCCTGAGGAAACTCATGGGCAGGATCCCCTGGAGGCCAGTCTGAGTGGGAAAGGAGTCCAGGAGAGCTGGTTGTATTTTAAAGAAATCTTACTGAGGGCTCAGGAACAAACCAGCCCTAAGTGCAGGAAGAATAGAAAATGTGGCATGTGACCAACATGGCTTAGCAGAGAACTCTTCAGTGAGCTTAAAGACAAAAGGAATCTTACAAAAAATGGAAGCTTGGACAAACAACTTGGGAGGAGTATAAGAATATTGCTCAGACATGAAGGAATGAAGTCAGGAAGGCCAAAGCAATTGGAGTTGCAGGTAGTAAGGGGCATAATGAGTAACAAGAAGGGTTTCTACAAGCATGTTAGTAAACCGAGGAAGGTCAGGGAAAGTGTGGGTCACTTACTGAAAGGGGTGGCAATCTGGTGACAGATGAGGAGTAAAAGGCTGAAGTACTCAATGCCTTTTTTACCTTGGTCTTCACAGGCAAGGTCAGCTCCCAGACTACTGCACCAGGCAGCCTATTTTGGGGAGGAGGTTAGCAGTCCTCAGTGGTGAAAGACTATTTAGAAAAGCTGGATGGGTACAAATCCACAGGGTCTATATGTAATGAATCTAGGGTGCTAAGGGAGTTGGCTGATTTGATTGTAGAGCTGTTGACTCTTATCTTTGAAAACTCATGGCAATTTGGGGAGGTCCTGGACAATTGGAAAAGGGAAAATATAGTGCCCATCTTTAAGAAAGGAAAGGAGGAGGATCCAGGGAGCTACAAACTAGTCAGCCTCACCTCGCATTCCCTGGAAAAATCATGGAGCAGGTCCTCAAATAAAGGACTTGGAGAAGAAGAAGGTGATTACAATCAGCATGGATTCATCAAGGGCAAGTCATGCCTGACCAACCCAACTACCTCCTATGATGAGTAGGGATCATGGTTTTCTCTGATTTAAAAAAAAAATCCCCAATTTTCATATTTAAATAAAAGTAGCCCAAAATCTACATTTCCCCATATATAGCGGTGTTTCATTTTAATAGAGGAAAAATGTGGAATTTGGGTTACTTTTTTAAATCTAAAAATTAGGCTTTTTTTTTTAAATTGGAGGAAGTCAGGATCTGTAATGATGAGATAACTGGCTCTGTGGATTTGGGGAAAGCAGTAGACATAATATATCTTGCCTTTAGCAAGGCTTTTGATAGGGTCTCCCAAAGCATTCTTGCAAGCAAGCTAAGGAAGTATGGGTTGGACTGCAAAGTGGATAGAAAGTTGATTGGATTGTCAAGCTCAGCAGGTAGTAACCTATGGCTCAACGGGTAGTAACTTACGGCTCAACAGGTAGTAACCTATGTCTAGCTGGCAGCTTGTGTCATGTGGACTACCTCAGGAGTCAGTCCTAGGGTCAATTTTGTTCAATATCATCATTAACAATCTGAAAGATAGAATGGATTACACCCTCAGGGAGTTCTCAGGTGACACCAAGCTGAAAGGTATAGTAGATACACTGGAGAGTAGAGCTAGGATTCAGAGTGACCTAAACAAAATGGAGGATTGGGCCAAAAAATCTCATGAGGTTCAACAAGGATTAGTATTAATGCACCCTCAGCAAGTTGGGAGATGACACCAATCTTGGGGAAGTAGTACATATACTGGAGGGTAGGGCAAGGATTCAGAGAGACTTTGACAAATTGGACCAAAAGAAATCTCATAAAGTTCAATAAGGACAAGCGCAAAATTTTCATTTAGGATGGATGAATCCCATGCACTGCTACAGCCTGAGGACTGACTGGTAAGCACCAGCTCTATAAAAAAGGACCGGGGGGTTACAGTGGAAAATAACCTGGATATGAGTCAGGAGTGTGCCCTTGTTGCCAGGAAGGCTAACAGCATACTGGGCTCCATTAGTAGGGGCATTGCCAGCAGAACTAGGGAAATAATTATTCTGCTCTATTCTGGTATCAAGTTTTGGGGCCCCACTACAGAAAGGATGGGGACAAATTGGAGAGAGTACAGCAGAAAGCAACAAAAATAGTTCAGGGCTGAGGCACAAGACTTATGAGGAGAGGTTGAGGGAATTTGGTCTATTTAGTTTGAAGAAGAGAAGACTGAGAGGCTATTTGATAGCAGTCTTCAACTTCCTGAAGGGTGGTTCCAAAGAGGATGGAGGTAGACTTTTCTCAGTGGTGACAAGTGACAGAACAAGGAGAGGTTTAGGTTGAATATTAGGAAAAACTTTCTCACTAGGAGGGTTACCTAGAGAGGTGGTGGAATCTCCATCCTTCAAGGTTTTTAAAGCCCAGCTTGACAAAGCCCTGGCTGGAATATTTTAATTGTGGATGGTCCATCTTTGAGCAGGGCGTTGGACTAGATGACCTCCTGAGGTCCCTTCCAACCTTTTTTTTCCCCATGATTATGATAATAGATTCTATGGTTATGTTCTGTTTTGATAATAGAAAGTAAGAGGACATTCAGTGAAATTCAAAACTGATAAAAGGAAGTACAGTATTTTCTAATGTACACAAACACCTGTGTATATGATATAACCCCTTTCCACATTATGAAATTGTGGTTGAAAATAATAACACAAATTTAATTGAATTCTTACTAGATTGTATGCCAATTATTTAAATTGTTTTTGTTACTTAGCTTTCTAAATGTTACACTTTCATTTAAGCTTCCTTTTTGGGAACAAACGTGCTTCTTCTAGACCAGCAAACATGGTACCTTTTCAGGAAATACATAATTAATCTTTGGAAGTCATTGCTGTAACATATCATTGATGCCAAGATTAATGAAACCTACCTTTTGGTAATGAGGATAGCACTTAACCTCGCTAACCTCATCAGCAGAAGCAAACTTCCTCAGGCCAGAACACACTGAATGGATCCAGACCATGCCATAACAAGGAATGCAAAACCTGCCAACACATCACCACCCCCACAATTATTACACCTCACAACAGAGCCTTAAGCTTCCCTGCATCTTACAGCTGTACCTCTAGAAATGTAATATACCTCATCCAATGCACCAAATGCCCTGATGGAAAATATGTAGGAGAGACCAAACAACAACTGTGCACCAGAATGCATGACACCAGAAATCCATCAAAGACAAGAATACACAATTACCTGTAGGGGCACACTTCTCACAAGAAAACCACTCTCTCTCCAATCTCTCAGTCCTAATCCTCAAAGAAAACTTAGAAAACACTTTTCAGAGATGAGCCTATGAACTTCACTTCACCAGCCTCCTGGATACAACAAATCATGGACTAAATATAGACATTGGATTTATGACACATTATAACTTCCCTGACATCTGACTCCCCAGGTACCTCTCCACTATTTAACTGCTACATTCATCCCCCTTCTCCCCCACACCCAGCCTGTCTCTCACCCACTGACTCCTCAGTTTACATCTTCACTGACAGCCTGTCTTGCACGCAGACCAGCCTCTGGCTTCTTTTACTATTCATTCCATCTAGGAAGAGCACACACCAACTGGAGAGACTTCCTCAGCCTCAAAGTGTTTTTAACCTGAAAGCTTGCTAATTTTTTTTTCCAACTATTTAAGTTGGTCTAATAAAAGATATCAGATTCACCCAAAGAACCTTGTCTGCCTATGTCCTTAGACCAATGGCTACAACATACACGCCTGATGTAAAATTCCTTTACATTTTTCATTCTTTGATTTATATATATATATATATAACATTATTCAGGACAAAAAAAAAGAAAAGAAATACTGTAATACTAGAATTTCCTGCAAAACAGAAATTCCATTTTCTCACTATCTCTATATAGATAAATTATGCTAATTAGTCAGTTTTTTGGTAGCCATGTTAATTCTACTTAAAACCTCTGAAGAATTCTCAGATGAAGAGAGATTGGAAATATTGGGATTGTTTACTTGATAAAGGAGATGAATGGTAAGGGTAATATAGAAGTTGCATGATAATGAAGTGCCTAGAGAATGAAGATCAAGAAATTATGTTTGCCTTGCCTCCAAATACAAGAGCAAGGGAAGCATTCAGTAATATGCTTTGTGTGAAGAGTATTAAATAATGTTCACTTAAATGCATGGTCAAAGCACTCATGCTCTTTTAAGCAACTGAAGTTCGATTGTTTTTTGTTTTGCGTAATTTTGTCTGTCCCCTGCTTTAAACATGTAATTTCTTTTTATATAGGACAAACAATATATTTTAATATAGAAAACCTATATTAATAAATGTCACTTTCTGTTGTCCTATGCTGTACTACGTATGCTACAATTGTTTAAAACTACTTAACTGAACTTTTAAAAAGTGTACTACTTCATATGACCAACTTGCATTTGATTACAGTCTATTCCATGTCCATACTTATGCCAAGATTCCCCATTGACTTCCAAAGAAGTTACCAAGGAAACCAGCCACTCTCTGTGTATGAGGAGTTTTAACACATTATTGCTGCTGGTAATCTTCTCTGCCTTTATCAGATGTAGCCATCGTTTAAAAAAATGTTGAAAACATGCATAGACCATACACTAGTGAAGAAAAGTTATCTTTGTCAATAATATGTCTCTAGATCACTATAAAGAGAAATTTATTAAGCAAAAATGAGTATCTGAGATTTTGCTACAGTAACAGAGAGCCCAATATAATGACATTTTCTCTCTTTCTTTCTTATTAAGCTCTGTGTGGTGGTTATATTCATGGGAGCAGTGGAACCATTCTTTCTCCAGGTTTTCCTGATTTTTATCCAAACTCTCTTAACTGCACTTGGACTATTGAAGTATCACATGGCAAGGGTAAGAATGTAATGCAACTGCCAATCCACAGATAATATATATTTTAAATATGCTTCTGACAGAATTAAATATAAGTATTTTGTTAATCCTTGAAAGAAAAAAATAATAATTTAATTTTCTCAAACTATTACATTAAAATTTGGTTGTATATTAAGATTTGCGATAGGAGGGAGGCAGGAGGAAAATCCTTCCATAATGGCAGGCATTAAACAAACTACTTATACTGCTTTTGCAGATGTTTGTGGTCTTAAGAAGATAGTCCTGTATTTGGAAGGGAGATATTTCCTTTTCTTAGTAAAATGGATGACAGAGAGGAAAGAATATAATGGTTGATTGTGAGCACAATTCATATCAATATATTTGACAGAAGGCTACCCAGTCTTATATTCAGCTTAAGTTTGTTTATTTGCTGGCTTTGTACACCAGGTCTGATCAGTTTCTGAGGCCCCTGACAGATGTGCAAGTATATGTACGAAGGAATTTGACACACAGTTATCATGTTCCCTAACATTCTACATGTTGTGGGGCAGGGGAGAGCCTGGGGTGGTGATCTTAGGCTCCCCCTGCACTGGGAAGTAGTAATCTGTCAGCTGATGAGGCTTCCAGCCATGGGAGGCCCACCATGTGCTCCTGCAGCTGGGAACCACATCAGCTGATCCAGACTTCCAGCCATGGGCATATACCCTGTGGATGGGAGCTGCAGCCTGGACACACATTTGGTTAATGGCATGATAAGAGGCAGCCACAAAGTTCTTATAAATGTTTTGTGTAATAACTTTGTGGCTTATTCCTTATTTTAATCACACCGTTAATTACATTAACTTTTGGCTTGGTCACAACTTAAAACATGATTAGTTGGTTAAATAGCTAAGTGTGCCAGGGGCTTAAATGTAACACTTGACATACACACCAATGTGTAGGGTTTTAAATGGCAGAGGCTTTTATCATTGCTGTAAAAGGTAATACTTCTTTATGTGACCTACACCTTCATGTAACACCAGTACTGTGTCTTGTCATCAGTGAAATGTTGATAAACACCTAGGCAGATATAGTATTATGTTCACTGGGGAGTTTTGTGCCCATATGCATGCATTTGTGTTTTTATATATGTATAAAGGACTTACTAATAAGGTTCTTTTAGTGGGTACAAAACAGAGTACATATAGGCTAGGGACAGACATTCAAAAAGCCTGAGCCTGAATTAATTCAATCTTTGCAGGTAACCTATCTAGGCTGAACTGATTTATAACTGCACAGACATCCCCAATATTCAGGCACATGCCTGCAATGGCTCAGGCTAGAAGCTAGGGGGTGCTACAGCAGCTCTCCCATCTTCCACAGCACTAAGCTGAGGCCGG